TATATATATATATATATATATATATTTATATTTCATACTTCCCCAGTAGGGCTTATAAGTAGAGGAATACACCGTTGAGTTTGAATAGCTAATGTTGAAGTGTGAGTAAATAGAGTTAGAGTAGAATAACATAATCCAATATCTGGGAGGATTAAAATTATCTATTGACAGTGTGGTGTATATACAACCCTATGGAACTTTACATGATGTTCAAATTTTATACATGAAGGTGGACAATCAACCTTATTGAACTTTGCATGATGTTCAAATTTTATGCGTGAAGGTGGAGAATCAACACAATAACAGGTCCACTCACACTTAAGTCATTCATCTAATTGGGTAGCAAGAGCATATTGATTAGTGCCAAGGCCTATCTCCTATGAGGAAAAGCTAGTGCAAGAAGAAAAAAATTGATCGAACCAGCACCCCCAATATATTTTCAATCAAGAAGTGCTTCATGTGTCATGGATATGGGCACATTACATTTAATTGTTCAAACATTCAGAGTGATTTTTTTTTTCTTGAATAGGGTGTAGTAGAATAAGCAGATTTTGGAAAGGATTGCGTAGATGGACTAACTGTGAAGAAGATTAATTCATGACGCTTTTTGGGTCTTTCAGTGGTTACTATTATCATAAATAGTTGTGATTGGATCCCAATCATTTAGTGCTTTTTTTGAATGGTTTGAAGTATCCCAAAATAATTCACACGAAATTTAAATTAATTGCAAAATTGTTAATCTTAATTTAGTTTGTTGGTGATCTTAACTATCTTCAAATTAATTAAGAAAGTTAATTAAACCAATTTTATTGAATTTGTACCTTGATTAGGTTAATCGAGGTTTGTCTAACTCTCTTGATTAAAGCCTTAACCAATTCGACAAATTTGTTTGAACTTGCATTAATGGGTTGGGGCTTAACTCATGTAATTAACCCTATGGATGATCAATCAAGTGCAATTGACCCTGAGGCAGCCACTTTTATAAACTTTTCACTATTATCAAGTGGCTATGCAATTGTTTTTTATTATTCTACGTGGTTTTATCATCACAGGTGAAATGTTGAAGTGCTTGCCTCCTCCATCCAAGAAGATTTCAAAGTATGCCCCATTGATTCACGTTATGAAGGTTTGTTAATCTACATGGCACATGTATCTGTATTGAAATTTTGAAGAGTTATCATGTAAATTTTGGTTTATTCAGATTTTTCTTTAAGTGTGCAATTATTTTGTAGGTCAAACCAGAGAAAATTCATCTTATTATTGGTTCTGGCGGGAAAAAAGTGAAAAACATTATTGAAGAGACTGGAGTAGAAGGGATAGAAACCCAAGATAATGGAATAGTAATAATCATATGAATTATATTCTTTTTCCTTTATGAAATAGCCTCAATTTATTGAGTGTCTTCTACCTCAAGTCGTAAAGGTGAATCATCTTACTTCATTCATTTCTCGAACTGTGCAGGTTAAAATTACCGCTAGGGATTCGTCCAGTTTAGAGAAGTCTAAAGCCATAATAGCTAATCTAACAATGGTTCCAACAGTTGGTGACATCTTCAGGTTTGATGTTAGTTTTTTATTATTAATTTTTAAAAAGCTTATTTTAAAGTTAGATCAATATGTTGAAATGAGATTTCAGTTGACTGTTTATTGCTAAAATTCAGTCATTTATGTACTAGACTACAATAGGTTTAAGCAACAGCTCTAATGTATTTTGTCACATTAATCTAAAATCCATTAAATTTTTTGTGCATTTTGTTTGTCCCATTGAATGTCGAGCATCTGATGATTCAGTTAGGAGAGTAGTTGTTTTAGATTTGATTTATGCTAAGAAAGGTGGAGATAGACCTAAATAGACCTGGTTATGTTGTGTAAAATATTATCCTAATTTATTAGAATTAAATGAAAATATGACACTCAATAAGACAATGGAGAAAAAGGATTCATTTAGCCAGCTGTACTTAGTTGGATAAGGGCTTGTTGTTGTTGTTGTTGTAGATGCTCTTGAATTGTTAGCCATGTTATATGAATAAAACTTGCCAAATCCATGTCTTTCCCCCATAGGAAATAATGGTTGCTTGGGATACTAAAGTGAAAATAAGGAAAGCTAACTACCCTAATTTTAAAGTTTGTGGTCATGCTATCAGGTCATGTTGTGAGAAGTTCATCATTCAATTGCCAGAAAGCCTTACTAAATTATTTTGGATAGGGATACTATAAAAACATCTTCAAGGAGTTTTCTTGGCCTCTTTATCTTTGGAACTCACAAAGTTTTTGTAATATGCTGTTTTTTTATCGTTAAGTTTTGTGTAATTTAATAAGTTTTGTAACATCTTTTACTTGGGCATGTTGTATAAAGAATGGTCTCAATTTATTAAAATTAAATGAAAATATTATGGTCAACAGGACACAATGGAAAAAAGGGATTCATGTAGTTGACCCCACTTAGTTGGATAAAGGCTTGTTGTTGTTGTTGTTGTTGTTATGACTTTAACATGGACATTTCTGCACGAAGGAAGGCTCAAAATGTTGATTTTAGTAGAAGGTTGGGAGTTTGAACGTTGCATTTGAGCAAGTTTGGTAAGTTGTAGAAAATAGAATGGCTTGGTTTTGCTCAAATTTCCTTTACTTTTAAAGTTTAAGATAATTGTACTGAAGGTATTAAATAAAGAGTCAAGGATTCCTTAGAAACTACTGTTGTATGAATGTTCTACGGACGGGGCCTACTTTTGGATTTTAAATCATGGTTGTTGTTATCATAGATTTTTTTTATCAGAATGTAAAATTTAGTAATTATTTTATTAACTTTTCAGAACAGGTAATTTAACTCTTAAATTTGAACTCTTAAATTTGCTTTTTTATTTGTGTACTTGTCCTCTTCTTCCAAAGGAAAAAAGGCCATGTCCCTGCTTGAGGTTATTAACTGCTATTTGCTGTAAATAAGCCTGATCTTTAATGATATTGGTTGGTTGGATTGAAGTCATTTTTGTCTGAAGTGTATTTTTATGATGTAAAGCAAAACAACAAAATTGAAAGCATTGGTCCACTTTCATTTTAAAAATTGTGCTATATCTATGTTTTGAGCTTTGGAAAATATAGAAATTTTTAATTTTGGTTTCTTAATTTCCACCTTTTACAAATGATGACCTTCATGTTGAATATGACTTGTAGAAATTAAAATAAGTCTCTGATTGTGTTATATATTTATTTTACAATTTTTTTTCAACGTGATATGAGCTCAATGATTATTTGCAAACTTCTTAGTTGCCCTTCTTGGGTTCGTAGGGCTATTCTGTTATCTTGCAGAAATCATGTTTCTTTTTGTCTTTTGTTGAATTACTCAGGGATTGTGAAATTAAATCAATCGCACCCTATGGAGTTTTTGTAGAGATTGCACCAGGGCGTGAGGTAGGTTTGCATTGTATGATTACCTATTTTTAAATGTTTAGTGTTTATGCTTTCCATCAACCTTTTTTAATGTTGCATTTTCCAGTATCCCTGTACTCCTGTTCTTATTATTTATTTCGGGCATTGATCAAATTGCTGTTACGTCTTAACGTTTTGTTCATTCTTCAACTTGGTTCCTTCGTTATTTAATTGGATGGCAGATCCTCTTGTTTTATTTTTTTCAACGACTGATTTTTTAAACTTATTTTATTTTAAAATGTGGGTAGATGTTGTTTTTGAAAAAAAAATATAACCTGATTTAATATTGGTGATAAGTGGTGTCTTTAGTTTGCATTAATACTGAAAGAGATTAAATAAGGTTTTGGGACAACATTTTTGGGATTGAATTGTGGCTGTTTTGGAGTAGCCATCTTCGTAACTAAAGGATTTATTAGAATGGATAAGAGGGGAAAATAGTGTGCCAGTGATTAGAACTGCCTGGGGCTATGACCTTCATTCAATCTAAGACTTTTGGTTCGAACCATAGTTGGATTAATCTATGATGTACAATTCATTATCTTCTTTTGAATCTCATTGAGAAATGTATACATTCAATTTTTTGGTCTTTTCCTCTCAGATCTTGGGAAAAATGATCAAACACTTTTCTAACTTGTGATTGGGCCATCAGCTAGAGCCATGGGCATCAGGGAAGATTATAATTTATCATTTGCTAGAATGTTTAACTATAAGATAAGGTTTTGATTATAGTCGAAAGAGTTGAAAGATAGAGTTTTTAAGTTGAATATCTTTGGTAATAGGGTGATCACTTCTGGATAAGTAATGTTGAGGATATGATGAATGCAGTAGGTACTTATGCTCCACAAATTTGATTAAAATATAGTTAAAAAAATTTGATAATAGATGGAAGCTGCTGCAATATTTGCTTGATCAATAAAGGCCATTTATTGGAGGTGTTTTTAATAGCATATATGTTCTAGTAGTACGAGCTATGAGGCATTAATGTAGTTATGGATTTGGTGATGGAAATGAAATAGCAGAAGTTATATTGATTTCATATTAGTTTTTCTGACCAAGAGAAACACAGTGGCAAAACAAATAGGAGATTTGGGTTTTTGGTTCTCAATACAATGGGAAATGCATAAACAGAATTCACACAACTATTTAAGGTTCAAATTACAATTTCTTTTAATCTTATGAATAACTGTCATAATTGTAGCCGTGACCAATATAACCGCCCAACAAATGTTGTTGCCCTCTTTAGTGAATACTATACTTTCCAGGTTTAAACTTATGAACTGGCCTACAGGTTCTTATTCCAATTCGGCAGTCGCAAAACAGGATTACTGGAAAATAGAGAGTTCACTGTTTTAACATGAAAGAATTAAGTGAAGAAAAGGATTGGGCTAAAATAATATGATTAGAGGTGATACTTGAACCATGAATTAGAAAATTTTCTGATTTTAGCTGCCATCCTTCAGGTGATTCAAGAAGTTTCAGTAATCTGCATAAATTTGAGATGAAATTAATAGGTAGATTGCTGTGTCTAGGAAGATCGCTAATTAAACTTAAAACTAGAAAACAGAGAACATTGTTTCCAAATTGTTTGATATCCAGGAAGTTCTTGGTACTGCTAAGTTTCCAGTTTCTTCTTGTTTTTTTTTTCTTTTTTTGAAATTTTTTCTAGTTTCTTCTTTTGTTTTGAGGTTCACTCTTCTCCCGCTCATATTTTTCTTCATCAGCATAACTATACTAAGGAACTCATTGTTTTGGCTGGTCTCCAAGAGGATCGTCCTGTTGATGCTCTTTTGAAAGTGAATGCTAAATATCAACGGAATGACGATAACTTTCTATCTAATCCATCTCTGTTTCGACAACTTGTTGGGAGTTCCAATTATCTGACTATTACATGTTCTGATATTTCATTTCCTGTGCAACAAGTTAGTCAATTTATACATGCACCTACACATGTTCATTTTGCTGCAATTCGACGTGTTGTTAGATACTTTTCATCGTGATTTGTTTTCTGCGGAGTCTCCTAGTCACTTAACTACCTGTAGTGATGTTGATTGGGTTGGTTGTTTTGATACACGTCGATCTATTACTGGTTGGTGTATATTTCTCGACAACTCTTCAATTTCTGGGAAGAGCAAGAAATAAGATCGAGTGTCTAATTTTGGTTGGTGTTATATCCTCTGCTTGTTCTGAGATCATTTGGCTTCGGGTTTTGTTGGCTGAGCATGGTTCTCCTCAACTTAAGTCTACATATCTTTATGCAGATAACACTAGCGCAATCCAAATTACTGCTAATCTTGTCTTTCATGAGCACATGAAACACATTGAAGTAGACTGTCTTTCTATTTGAGAAACTTATGATAATGATGTTATTTATATACTTCATATCTCTTCTGATCTTCAAACAATTGATATATTTACTAAGGCTATTTTTTGGCAGTGTCATGAGTTTCTTTTTGGCAGTGTCATCAGTTTCTTGTTGGCAAATTGATACTTCTTGATTAGTCAACATCAATTTGTTGGGGGATATCAATCAAGAATGATAGAAATCAGGCAACTAGAATTAGTATTTCTTTTTTAAATTATGAGTTTCCTATAAGTAGGAGTTTCCTTACTTAAATTGCTTCCAATTTTTCTCTCCTGATTTACCTCTCTTGTTAATTGTACATATTCTTTCCTTATAGCTGAATATATTTAGATTAGGAATAAGTATTAGGTTACTTAAAGTAGATTGTACATATTATTATTTATTGGAATGAAAGCAAAGAAAAAAAGCATTTTTCTCAAAAGTTGTTAAGCGTATGGTAAGAAAAATGTTGGCGAACGCCATTATTTGTTCTTATGTCATCCCATGTTGTGGTGTTAGTCTTCTTTGTCATAGGCGGTGATTGACACAATTTGATTGAAAGATACTTGTATAATACGGGTTGTGTCATCTAAGATGGCCTTTTAGATCTGCAATAAATGTTTGTCTTAGGCGACGTTTAACTTGACGTCAATTAACAATGGTTTCCATCATATAATTCAAACTATAATTCACTTTAGGGTATTTGAGTAATGGGGGAGCTTACAAACTTTAGTCATTGTCATAATTTAATTATCATTTCATGGTGGATCATTTAGTAATAGCGCTCAAATCATAATCATAATTTTTTTGTACTATTTGGTGCAAAACTCCATTAATTAACACAGGTCATGTTTTTATCGACATAAGATTTTTTATTGTGACAATAAAAGTACACTTGTTGTGACATTATCTCCTCATGAGCTGAAACATTATTAATGATTATAATTGATCAAGCAATCTCCAAAAAATGTATGTTTTTCTTTTCTATCATTTCATTTTATTGAGTGTGGATACAAGAAGTTTGGCGTATAATTCCATGTTGAAGGAGATATATTCCGTGAATGGAATGAAAATAATTTTCCCTTGGACAGCCTTGAGAATTTAATATTTGGGTTATAGTCTTTATAAAAGAGCAAAATTTTTTAGAACTGAAATTTTTCTTATACTTAAATTTTATCCAAAAGATCCAAATGCTTCGACTGTTGGTAACAATAAAGGGTATAAGCTATCTAGCACTCAAGATTTTGTTTGTTCCAATGGACCCTTGTGCGAATATGGATAGTTGTAGAAGGTTGGGAGGCTTTATAAGGATGCTAGTGTAGGAAGTTCAAGTGTGTTTAGAAAATTGACAAATTTTATATAAAAGCCATTCATTTTTTTTCTTTGATGAAAAAAGAACTAATTTTTTAGTTATATAAAATTTGGATGACCAAGATGGAACTGTCACATCTGATGTGTAATTTCATTAAAAAAAAAAGATATATATTGACGATTTTCAAAAAATTTCATATTTTTCTTCACAATTTATGGGTTAGAAGCTAGCATTTTTTTTCTGATATCGGAGTTAACCCAAATCACAATAAAAATGAAATTATTATTACTGAAAGCAAATGGGGCGGTTATAACCAACTCTTGAAAGGGAAAATACAACACTCGACACAAATATACTAAATAGGATGGATATCAGGTTGGTGGTGTTGATCAGCGAGGGTTTGGCCCTTTGAAGAGGTAGCAAAGAGTGGGTGAAGGCTGGGAGGTGTGGCAACAACAAAGGATTCGGACATCGGCGACAAGGGGGGGGAGTTGCGGCAAGGGCAGTAAGCTGGAAGGAGAGGAATGGAGGGCTAGATAGCTTGAACAACAGAAAACAACAGGAAAATGTTGTTTTCGAGTGGCTGCAGCGAGGGGTAATTTTGACGGAAGCGATGAGGGATGCGGGGAACTGCAAGACAGCAAGAGGATGGCTGTCTGGGGTGGTGGCAGCGAGGACAGGTAGCTGAATTGGGGAAATTGAAGGGAAAACAATAAGGTCCGACTGTTTGGGGGCGGCTGCAGCAATGGAGGGCGGTTGAGAGCAACATGGGGAGGATGTAGAAAAAGATAAGTGATGCGGGAGACCAAAGTACTGTCGCAGCTATACTACCGCTGACGCGTTACCGTAGCAACACAGTAAATGTTATCCCCTCTTCGATTTTATTTCCTTTTCTGTTTGATTCCCTACCTCAATCCATTCCTTCCTAGAATAGCCTCACTTCCAATTTTGTACTTTTCCTCTCCCCATCCCTCCCCCCACTTCTTTAGTTATTGCCTATTCTCCTACTTGCTAGTCTATCTATTTCCCCCTTATTTATAGATGTTGGTTGCCAAGAATCGAGGAAGGTTTTTGATGATTGTTGATTTGAGTTGTCGCCTTTGAGGCGTTCTTTTCCTATGGGGGTTGTACCCAATGATGAGAAGGGTTTTAACTCGTCCGAGGCGGTAATTGTCTCCAATGGTCTGGATGGTGCTCATGCTGTAGCTCAAACCCAACCAGATAATTATCCTTCCACTACCCCCTCTGGCCCGCTTCCAGCAGCTGCAAATCAGTCGACCTTGTTGTTATCTTCATTCCCTAATGTTGTTCGACGCTTCCTGTAGTTGTCTTGCTGCCGCCAGCCACTATGATACCTTCCCTGCTGTTGTTTGCGCTTTCAACATCTGTCCTGCTGTTGCCAGCCACGCAGACAGCTTCCTTGCTATTGTTCGACACTTCCATCAGTTGTCTTGCTGTCGCCAGCCACGCCGACACCTTCCCTGCTATTTTTCAACGCTTACCACGGCTGTCCCACTATTATCCAGACCTTCAACCGCCTTCCAGCAGGAGTCCCGGCTTTCCAGGCCTTATTTCCAACCATCGGACACCCGTTTCCTACGTGTTGTCCTGCTTCCAGCCACCAGCCAGCAGGCCTCCTACCGCTGCCTTCGCTGCTCCTTCCAGCACCACCGCATTCACCTTCCTCCCCTACCAGACATGACGCTCGCCCTAGAGGAAGTTGTCTTTGTGCTTTGCGTTGTTTTCTTTTTTATTTTATAACATTGTTATTGTCCTTTGATCGTTTGGGTGTTGTGGTAATTTATTTTTGGTTTTTGATGAGTCTTCGTGCAACCTTTCGCAATTCAATAATAATATTTGTTTTGTCTGTTGTGGTTTGTGTTAATTTTGGTATCATGTGGTATTAGAGCTAGTCTAAACCTAGTTATATCCTAGGATTTCTAGCATTTGTCCCTACCCAAGCCACCCCCACCATAGTTTTTTTACTCTAAAAGCTTCGACGAATAAGGTTGAAGCTCCCCCAACCCAAATAGATTGACACGGGAGCTTATCGTAGACGCGACACTGTAGTTGTTACAGTACCGTGGATGCGTAACAGTAGCTGTTACAGTAATCGTGGGTCCCTCTTTCCTTTTTGATTCCTTACATTATCTACCACCTTTCACTTCTATCCCAATTTTGAATTCCTTCTTTTCCCATCACCCCTCTTTTATCTATTGTCTATTCTTCTACTTGTCTAATCTTTTTACTAACCCTCTCTTATGTATACATGTTATTTGCTAAGGTGAGAGAAGGTTTTTGATTATTCTGATTGTGGATTTCTTATTGCTGCCTTTGAGGCGCTTTCCCCACCGGGGGCTATATCGACGGTGAGGAGGTGCTCCGGTTGTAACTCGTCCAGGTGGTGACCGTTTCCAAGGCCACTTCAAATTTATTTCAAATGAAGGCATTCAAGTTTCAATCTTTTTTAGCAATCTTGCCAATGATGATTTCTATTCCTGATAGTTTTAGTTTGAAGAGAGGATTCTTACATACCAGCATTGCCATGTGATCTTGATGCATAGCCGGAGAGGTCACCAAAGGAGATTGCTGTTTCGAAGGCCATTATGTTCAGTTGAAGCTCGGCAAAATTCTGATCTGAACTAGCATTCCGCTTACATTGGCGAGCATTCATTACCTTAAGATAACAATGGATAACATTATTTTTAGTGATCACAAGAAATAATTCAAATTGAATAAATGTTCATTTTTTTCATTGTAAATATAGTACTTGAAATTGTACATATTTATTGTCCGTGCTTTTGCAACTCAACTGTAACTTTCATTGTATATTGCTCATTCTCTTTAACAGGGACTTTGCCATATTAGTGAGCTTAGTTCGGAATGGTTAGCTAAGGCTGAGGATGTATGTTCGACAGTTTATTTGTTTTGTTTCATACGTTCTTACTTGATTATTCTCGTCTTTTTGGCTAACTTTGCATTATTAATGTTTACAGGCCTTTAAAGTTGGAGATCGCCTAGATTTAAAACTTATTGAGGTTGGTTACTACTTTTTGTCTGACATTAAAATCATTAAATTTATGGGTGGGATTCGGTACTCAAATGGGGGAGACTAATAAAAATATGTATTGCATTTGGATGAGTGGAGAAGAAAATAATATAAATAATCCAAAAAAAGTTAACAGAGCTGCAATCAGATAGGTGCCAATTTGTAATGTTATTAGAAAAGGAGTAGATTGGAATCAGGATGAGATGGATGACATTATATTAAAAAATCAATGAAGATGTAAAAAATGACATGAAAGTTTTTTATCTCAGAGCTGCAAAAGGGGAATCATTGGCTGATTAGAGAAAATGATTTTTTTTTTTTTTTTTTTTGGTGGTAAGAAAAATTGAGTCTTAAGCTCGCATCACCAAACATTCACTTCATACCACACACTTTGATGCATACCTTATAAAGTTTTTTTGAACTACTTTGCTTCAAAGTACACTTTTTTAAACACTAGTATAGATGTCTTTATCGAGTTAATAAGGAATTCTCAAACAGTATATTTTTCTTTTTAATTTGCAAAACTATAATTTGTGTGGCTAGAGTGCTCTTGAAGTTTTGTAAATAGAGCTAGGTGATTTTCTAGTACTCACACAATCCTGCACTAAAAGAACCTTTGACTCTAGCTCTGATAGAGTTTGATGTTGTTTTGACTTTAAACTAAACCAGTGCTTTGTTATCACAGTGTGTTATATATATTG